AATTCTGTACAGGATAGCATCAAGATTCCGCAGTTCTGAGCTAGTTTATGCAATAAAACAGGGAAAAAAGATAGACCGGCCGGTCTGAAATCCTTACCGGTACGGGACCGGACCGGCCGGTAACCGGTACTGGTTCCATCTCTGATATTAATTTTACAGCATTGGTTTCTAATGATATGTTAAATGTTAAGATCCTTTAAACTGTATGTCGTGGTCGGCTCTTTTTATACTAATACAGTCAACATATAGTATCGTGTTAGTCTCTTTGTATTTACCTAGACTACAAAAATTCATTAATGATACTGGTAAGCATACTGCTTGTGGTGAACAGCATGTGTTAACTACACATACAGCAGTATTTGATGCACAAGTAAAGCCGTTGCATGGTTCCAGCACAGAACATAATACACCAGGTGCACAGTAATGAGTGTTGTTTTGTGTAACATAATCAAAACAAGCTATTGATTCTGCACGACAAAGATTACTATTATTCCAATTCACATCACATCGTTGTAAAGCACAGTTTGTGTCTGGTTGTGATGCAGAGTGAGGCGAAGAAGAATCTATCATTCTAATACTGTAATCATCTTCAGTACAATAGTATTCATTTTGTTTTGTTACTTGAACTAAAAATTGTGTATATCAGGCATTAATAAAATAACAAAAAAAATAAATCAGTTAACCTTGTATACATGATAAGACAATAATGAAAAGCAAAACTGTTTCAAATCGCATGATTAGTTTTTTTCTTGATGATGAATGACATACGTTTGTACAGAACTTTCTTTCTTTTTTTCCTCTCACACATCATTTTCAAAGGACTCCGCTCATTTTGAAGGATTCAGAATATATAGATTTGTATGATGCGAAATCAACATCAATATTGAATTTGACGGTGTTTCGAGAAAAAAAGCAGGCTCGTTGATGCTTTTCGGTTGCTCTGGTGGCGGTAGAAAAAGAGAGTATGGTAAGACATGTTAAGGTTTTGTTTATTTTTATTCTTAATCTGACTTCTTTAATTTCTTTCTTGTTGAATATATATGTATCCAATAGGCACTATATATACAGGTTGATTACGTTATTTTTAATAGTTTTGTGTCGTTTGCTGTATTTATGCAATACATCGAACTTTTTTTATTTAAACACAGTTGGATAGAGCATCAGCTCTTCTATCAAATCCTATAATTTGTTTGTTAGTTTCTCTGGCTCTAGCCCAAAATTTTGATGAATCTAAAACAAGTATGAAAAAACATTTTTTAGGGTTGTTGTCATGAATTTTAATAATTCTGTTTTTCATGTACAGACTGCTTGTATCATGCTTAATAGTATTCGCGATAACACGTGCGCATTATATATTGAACAGTTTTTTTTGTCTCCTCTCGATGACAGTTATAGCCTTCCTCTTCAGTTCAATTCGTTTAAATTAATTTCAAATAAATGCCACGTAATAAAATTTCTGACATTGCCGAAGGACGTACGTATAAAAAAAACTGATCTCGACTATGATCGAATGATTATTCAACAAAACACTTCTCGACCAAAAGGTTTTATGGTATGGGGAGGTGTATCAAGTCAAGGAAAAACCACACTTCGATTTGTTGCACCTGGTACCAAAGTTAATTCAAACTATTACATTAACAAAGTTTTAAAGGCATTTTTAGCACAAGATGTTCCACGTTTATTTCCAAAAAGACGAAAAGTGAAATGGTTTTTTCATCAAGATTCGGCACCAAGTCATACTGCCAAAGAAACAATTAGATTTTTGGACCAAAATAAGATTCATTATATAACACCACAAGAATGGATGCCTGCTAGTCCTGATGCTGCACCAATGGATTATTCAATATGGGAATATTTGAAACAACACCTCAATAAAACACATATTGATTCTCTTGATGAACTTAAAAAAAAGCTTTTGTGTGAGTGGCGAAAGATGAGTCAGACGTATATCGATAAAATATTAGCTTGCTGGCCAAGATGAGTTTTAATGATATATAAAGCTCGAGGCTCTCATATCGAACATCGTTTATAATTGTCCTTTTTTTTTGTTTATATATATAAAAAGTAAAACTATTAAAAATCATGACAACAACCCTAAAAAATTTTTTTTCATACTTGTTTTAGATTCATCAAAATTTTGGGCTAGAGCCAGAGAAACTAAGAAGCAAATTATAGGATTTGATAGAAGAGCTGATGGTCTATCCAACTGTGTTTAAATAAAAAAATTTCGATGTATTGCATGAATACAGCAAACGACACAAAACTATTAAAAATAACGTAATCAACCTGTATATATATAATCTCTCTAGATGTAAATGTATATGGAAAAGAGAAGGATCGTCCATCTATAGTAGATGGCGACCGTAGCAAGACATTTAGTTTGTTTTTATTATTAGACTGTTATTTCAAGTTTATTGACGTTACAGCACAAGGTTGATTCATTTTGGATTATTTTCCCACTCTCATTATCGGATGGTGCAGAATATTTGTTTTTTTTTTGAGGGGAAGAGGGAGGAGGCGATGGAAGTATTATTTCTAGCGAAGAACGTTCGACAAATATAAGCAACACCTGTAGAGAAAGTGATTGTCCTTAAAAAATTTTAATTTGTGATTGAAGTCTCAGAAATCATTGAGAATTATTCGAAACTTATGAATCTAAAATCTATATTCTTGTCAATGTATTTATGAAAAGTGACGAACTCAACAAGTGACACTATTCCGTGTATTTGATGAAAACAAATCACTATTTCAAGAGAATATAGCCTATTTGTCCATGCTGTATATTGCAGAATCGATTCCGAGCCCGAAATCAGTTCCATCAGATTCCGGAATTTCTAATCCTTGAACTAACTTGCCTTCTTCAAAAAC